GGACTGCTGATCACAAGGCCCCAGCAGTTCAAGACCACCAGCAGAAACCACTAGGCAGAAAGACGGGCTTTCTACTCTTGTAAAGAGTCCGTCTCAGAAACTCAGGGCAGTTCTACCCTGCCCGAGTGGGCATCGACTGGAGGGCAGTGAGTTTGGGTTGGTTTTGGTTTTATTTTCTATTTCAAGAGTGTACTCTTATTTATCTGTTCTATTGATAGGTATCTGGGTTTCTGCTTTTAAGCATTACGTTGTCTTGACCATTGCATGCCTTTTGGGAATGAGTGCATTTCTGCTGGGTGTACAGGTTGTCACATGGCTGCAACAATGGGCTTATAAATGTACCCTCTGCTGTGAAGGTGGTACAGGACCATGCAACACTTTGTTCTATATGCATAGAAGTGAGACTGCGGATCAACTGTAGTATAGTCAGCCATCAGCAGTATGTGACAGTCTGGCATTTCCATGGCCTCACCGAACTTTATTTTGTTTCCCTTTGAATTTGAGCTGTTCGAGTTAATTGTATTTTTAAAATCATTTTATTGGGGGCTCAGACAATTCTTATCACAATCCATACATCCATCCATTGTGTCAAGCACATTTGTACATTTGTTGCCATCGTCATTCTCAAAGCATGTGCTTTCTACTTGAGCCCTTGATATCAACTCTTCATTTCCCCTCCTCCCTCCCTGCTCCCTCTCCCTCATGAACCCTTGATAATTTATAAATTATTATTAATTTGTCACATCTTGCACTGTCCGACGTCTCCCTTCACCCACTTTTCTGTTGTCCATTCCCCAGGGAGGAAGTTATATGTAAATCCTTGTAATCGGTTCCCCCTTTCTACCCCACCCTCCCAGTATCGCCACTCTCACCACTGGTCCAGAAGGGTTCATCTGTCCTTGATTCTCTGTGTTTCCAGTTCCTATCTGTACCAATGCACATCCTCTAGTCTAGCCAGATTTGCAAGGTAGAATTGGGATCATGATAGTGGGGGGAGGAAACATTTAAGAACTAGAGGAAAGTTGTATGTTTCATCGGGGTTAATTGTGTTTTAAGACCAAAAAGATATACACATACTCCTCACTTTTGACTATCTTGTTATCCAACATTTCACTCTTGACAATAACAGTAAAACATCTGATCTGAGTATTTTACACATGAACTACCGACGTCTGGCAATTTTGAACACCTAGGTGCAAGGTGAGAATAATACTAACTATAGTGGTTAAGGTTATTTGTTAATTTTAAAAATCTATTTTATCTTATTAAAGAAAAACCTTTATATTTTGAACTAGGTGAAGGTTTACAGAGCAGATAATCAGCGTTACATTCAATAGTTCATACACTTTGATTCAACTTATCCATTGTGATCCACTGACTGTTCCATTACTTATCCCACTTCTGTATGTTTCCTACTTCCACTGTTCCTTCTTGTCTAACCTCTGGACTTTGTCCTTGGGTGAATACTGCCCTTTGATCTTTTGTTTTTCTCTCCTGTGGTATTTTAATGGCTTTGGTTGATTGAAGCAGCAGCAAGAGGAAAGGGGAGAGTTCCCCTCATACTTGGTGCAGGAGACTCCGGCTCAGAAGGGGACATCGCAGTGCTAACGTTCTCCCTATTGAGGGGTTCCATGGGCGGTGGTGGGTTCAGCAAGGTGAGCATGGTTTATGTTATAGAGTCTGGGAGTGTGGGCAAGGGACGAGGAGGAGTGAGGGCACACAGACCTTCCTCTGTCTTGTCTCCTGTGCTCTCAGTCTCAAGCCTGGGCACAGCCATACATATGTCTGTGGGCTTCACTCCTTAAGTTGCTTCTCAGGGCTGGTGTGTTACTCTGGGTTGACTAGAGAAACAAATCCAGAGACATTCATATGTGTATAAGAAACAGCTTTATTTCAAAGAGTAATTGTAGCAGGCCTGTCTGGATAGGACAGGCTGGATGAACAATCTGGAGGAGAAAACAACGGGACTGACAGTTCCAGGGGGACATGGGAGAGGG